GAGTGACAGCCCTTGAATGCTCTCACAATCAAGTCCATGTGCTTAACACTTTTCCAGAATTAGTCACCTCTCAATGACTACTTCCTAACATAATATCTACCATCAGACCTCAATGACAAAATATTTAATTATAAAGCAAAGTATTAAACAACCGAGAATCAAAGTTCAATAAAAGTATTTACCAAACATCCATTACTGAGGTTCGGGTAACCTACACCCAACCTTAAAAGGTTTAGCTCATACCCATAAGGGCTGAGCTACAAAAACAGCAAAATGAAACGAAAATTACAAAGAAATAAAGTGCAGAAACCGTAAAATACAGTATGAGTCCTATTCACCAGAATAGCCTCAGTACTGTATTGACATGCTCTAATCCGAACAAAGTAGCATCTATTTACAGTACCAAAATAACACAAAAATAAAAATAAAGAAAAATGGAGAAGAAGAACAAGACTAAGGATCAAGAAGAACCCTACAGTGACGCTCTTCCTTCTTTTATATCGGCTTCTTTAGCATGCGAAAACCTCATGACCCTTGCTTCAACAGCCACGTGTCCTCACTCTCACGCTTTGATCATTCAACGCATGTGCACCTTTTTTTCTTTCCACGCCCACTCCTTGCCAACGAAGCTTAACTGCCTAAGGTTCACAAAACAATTGGGGTTTTCTTTTGTAAATTGTATTTTGTGAAAATGGTTTGGTTTAGACTTGGGTTAGATGAACCATTTTGTGTGAACACAGCTCAAGAAGTGGTTTTTGTGGTTCAATGATCAGAGAGGACTGAGGCTGGGTGAAAATGGGTTGGTTCACAAGATGAGGGTTAGGGTTTGTTAGGTTCAGAATGTGTTTCCAATTTGTTTTCAACGGTGTTGTATCTTTCTTTCTTCCAATCGCTTTTCATTTTTTTTGCTTTTCTTCACTTGGGCTTCTGATCAAAAGTCCAGCCCATTTATCCATTTCTTTCTTTTTTTTTATTTGCTTTTCTTTTCTTCTTGGCTTCTCTGATTTGAAGGTGGAAATGGGCCTGAAAAATAAAATTGGCAGCCCATTAACACTTAATCAATAAATCTCAATTTAACATAAATTTGGGGTTTTTAATAACACAAAAAGTATTCTTTTCTTTCCATTTGCACATTAAACCATATGTTTCAAGTCTCATTTTATAGACTTATCACACCGCCAAACTTAACTTGTTGCTTGTCCTCAAGTAACAGAGAAAATCATTACATGGATTTATCAGATTAACAACTCTTCACAACCCAAAGAAAAATTTCATTACATCACTCATTGCTACTCAAAATCAACAACAATCTAAAACATTTCTCAACAGCAGTTCAATGTTCAACTTTTCAAAACTTTCAATGAGTCACATTAACACAAAGATCAGAGAACGGAGGTGTGTACTTAGTTTAGCAGTTAATCCATCACAAACCAGGCAGCTTGATGATTATTTTATTCCATGAAAACACTCAACAAACAGTGTGCAAATTTCAAATGCATGAGTATCTCAAATGCTGTAAGATAATGACAGCAGAGCTCTTTGAATTTTTATTTCTTAACACAAAGTGTAGAATTTTTGCAATAGTCAATAGAGATGGCAACTTTTCACATCCTCACTTAATCAAAGAAGTATTCTCTCAATGCTCAAGGATCCTGTTTCTCTCAATCCAACACTGGTAAAAGATGTAACATAGGCTTGATAAGATGCTCTTGTCTCCTAAGTAACACACCGACTTAAGCTAAATGAAAGGGACTTGCATAGGTTGTAACTTGGATGAGGTGAAGGTGGGAAATTTGTGGGGAATTGGCTAATTTAGCTACAATGGAAAAGAAACACAATCACGAAACATAATCAAAAAAACAGTGGCTGCTACTTTAACTGCTATTTTTCACTCTTTGAAAATGCTTTTTTATTTTTTTGACAACTTTTTCAAAGGCAATATTCTTTTCTTTTCTTTTTTAAACAGTAAATCTTTCTCAAGCCATCAAAGTATTTTGCCATTTTTTTTTTGAAATCAAACTTTTCATTTTATTAGCAGTCTCTTACTTTCAATTCCCTTTTTCAACCAAAAACATCTTGTTTCTTTTTCTGTTTCCATCATAACTAAGAGGTGTGGTAGATTGTGGGATAAGATAAAATGTGGGTATGTAAAAAGAAAAGGTTAAAGGCTCAAATTGGACTTTCAATGGATGATGATTTAAGGATGGATTTTTGGTTTAAAAGTGGTTAAACAAAACAACAACAACAAAAATTGCCCTCGTCATTTTAAACTTAAGCAAGTGCTACACTTCATCAACTGAGCATCAAAGCAAGTTCCGCTTCACTAATCCAGTGAAGACCTCTCATCAAAAAATAATTGACTGTGTAGGCTCAATGACTCACTATGTTAGGTTTAGTCACCATCTCAAATGCCCATTGTTACCACTTAACACTCTGCATCAATCAATTTATTTTCTCAATCTCTCACTGTTATTACCATACAACCATTAATCCACTCATCTCACTCTACATTCACACAGCTGCTCTGAGTTCCTTTCTTTCTACAAAACTTCAAGCCACTTAGTTGTGACACAGATCACTTACTGCTGAACACAATACAACCCTCAAATCACTCTAGAATCTCAACTTCAACTCAACAAACAACAAACCACAAGGACTGAAGCGAAAACTAACAAAACAATAGCTAATAATATCAACAAAACAGCAAAATCACAAATACTCACAATGTATCTAAACAGCAAATAAAAAAAATAGTAAATTTAAAACAAGCAAAATTCATGAATTCACTCCACCCCCAAACTCAGAGGAAACAGTGTCCTCACTGTTGCAAAAACAAGCTACCAAGAAAATAAAAAAATTAAAAATTAAAAAATTAGGAACAAAGTAACCTGGGCCAGAAGAGGTTCTGGCCCTATTTAGCATTCTTAGAGTATTTGTCATCCTTCTCTTCTGTTTTTTTTTTAAGCAATTTTCTGCTGCACCATCTTCTTTCCACTCATTTTTCTTGGTCTTCCTTTCTAGCTTAAGGTGGTGCATCTAGGGGGGAGCACTTGAAAATTGAAGCTTTTGATTTGAAAAGTGTTGTCCAGCTTTCCCCCAGACTCAGAATTGACTCATTGCAGTAGGTATCAGCTGACTCTCTCACTTGACACCTGTAAAACCATATCAATGTATTAAATTTTCAATTAAACTCAATTCTGTTTTTTATAAAGCTATTTTGCAGACTATTTAAACTAATTTTTTTTTAGATAACATGATACAAACATGCAAATAAAGAAGTCACAGAAAACACAAAAAAAAATAAAAAAAAATCTAACATGCTTCGTTTATAGTCTTTAGCTAGACTTTTTGTTTCCTTTTCATGATCAGTTTCAATCTGGCTCTCTTGGGAAGAAAGACACCTTGTCCCTATCATCTCCCCAGTAATGTTTGACCCTTTTTTCATCAACCTTGATTTTTCTACCATCTTGCTCAACCAGAATTTTCACAGCTTCATGCAAAAATACTTTTACAACTTGATAGGGTCCTAACCACCTAAACTTTGGCTCCACATGAAATTGCCTTAGTTGTGACTTAAAAGGTAGAGCTAGTTGCCCTGTATCCCACCACTTCATGACCTCTTTCTGCAAGAATGAACTAAGTCTTCTTTGTTTCTCATTGAAGTTGTTTTTTGGGTCAGGCAACAGAATCTCATGCATGCCTAAGGTTGGGCTAATACTCTTAACATCTACTGTGATCCAATTTTTGGTTTTTTTAAAATATTTATGCATATTCAGCAGACGTTTTTCCTCACAAACATTAAGGAACTTAGACACACTAACATGCAATGTTTTATTTTTTTTAAGTAGGCATACCTAAGATTGGTGGGCAGAATCTTAAGTTCAATGATTAGTGGGACCTCTATGGATGGCCAAGAAGAATTTAGTTCTTTTTTAAGCAGACTTGAGGACACACACTGCTTTTCATTCCAATAAGTTGCAGGTTTAGATTCCACACAGCCTATACAGTCCTCTAAATCCTTTTTATCCAGCTCCCACTCATCTAAAATAGCCACTTCTATTGGGTCTTTGTCATTCTCCTTTTTAAACCTATCTTTACCCAAATGGTCAACTATACCCACAAGAGAACAATCCTCCATGGTCTTCAACTCATTAAAGCTGACTTTCTCCTCATTCTCATTCATAAGGTTGAGAAGAATACAAATTGAGAATGATCTTATCCGTCGTATTAGACGAGCTCAGAGAAATGAGGAATTAGTTCACAAATTTGCTAGTCACCAAGATGTCTCCTGGGATGAGAATAATGTGTTGAGGTATCAAGGACGGTTGGTAGTGCCAAATGAAGAGCTAAAGCAAGAAGTGTTACATGAAGCCCATAAGGGAAATTACTCGGTGCATCCAGGTTCCACTAAAATGTATCATGACTTGAAGACTTCTTTCTGGTGGCCTGGTATGAAGCATGGTATTGCGGAGTATGTGGCTCGGTGCTTGACGTGTCAGAAGGTAAAATTTGAACATCAGAAACCCTCAGGACTTCTACAGCCTCTGGAAATTTCTTAGTGGAAATGGGACAACATAGCGATGGATTTCGTTGTTGGACTTCCTAGGACGCGGGAAGGTTATGACGCCATTTGGGTAATTGTTGATCGGTTTACCAAGTCAGCACATTTCTTGAGCGTTTGTAGAACTTCCACCACCGAGAAGCTTGCACAAGTCTATTTACGGGAGATCGTGAAGTTACACGGAGTTCCAACAAGTATCGTCAGCGATCGTGATCCGAAGTTTACTTCGAGGTTCTGGGAGTCTTTTCAGAGGGCTCTTGGGACTCAATTAAGATTGAGCACTGCTTATCATCCGCAGACGGATGGTCAGACGGAAAGAACTATCCAAACACTGGAGGACATGTTGCGTGCGTGCATATTGGAGCAAGGTGGTAGTTGAGACAAATACCTTCCATTGGTGGAGTTTGCATATAATCATAGTTACCATTCTAGTATTGGAATGGCCCCCTACGAAGCATTGTATGGGAGGAAGTGTAGATCTCCTTTGTGTTGGACTGAAGTTGGAGAAAGACGTTTTCTGGGCCCCGAAATGATTCAAGAAGTGTCTGATCAAGTACAGATGATTAAGGAGAAGATGCAGAGGGCTCAGGCAAGACAAAAGAGTTACTATGACAATCGTCACAAACCTTTATCGTTTGATGTAGGAGACCATGTGTTCTTGAGGATCGCACCGACTTCTGGGCTAGGCAGGAGACTGGGGATGAGGATGTTGAGTCCTCGTTACTTGGGACCCTTCCTGATTCTTGATAGAATTGGTGAATCAGCTTATCGCCGAGCCTTACCACCCAATTTAGCCGGACTTCACGACGTCTTCCATGTTTCTCAGTTGAGGAGATACATCTATGACTCATCACATGTGTTGCAGCCTGAGGACGTGGAACTCAGAGAGAACCTGACTTACACCGTACGTCCATTCCAAATTCTTGAGAGATCAATCAATAATTTACGCTCGAAGGAGGTGCCGTTGGTTAAAGTTCAATGGAACGACATGACTGCTTACGAAACAACGTGGGAACGTCAGGATGAATTGCGAAAATTATACCCGGAATTCTTCGAGTAGGTACGTCATTCGAATTTTGCGGACAAAATTCAATTAAGGTGGGGAGAGTGTAACAACCCGTAAACGTTCACCAATTACTTGAACATGATTAGGGATATATGTGTATGACTTTGTGAGGTACTTAGTTAGGTCTTGCGAGCACTTTGCGAGTTCTGTTACGAGGGGCAAACGATTTCTGATTAATTATTATTTTATATGCACGCGAAGCCCCACGTGTCTAGTTTCTGATTACAAAAACGTTACAATAGAATTTTTAAAACTTGATTTTATACGAATTTTTAGAGACAGCAAGGTCGGCCAGAAAAATAATAATTTCAGCAATTTTAGAAATTTTGAAAACGTACAATAAAACATAGTTATTATCATTTAGCCAAAATTCTCTAGAGCTAGAACCTTTTATTACTTAATAAACTACATAAAATGATAATTGTAGTAACACTAGGAAAGGGCTTCGGCATGGAGGGATAATTGGGCAAGAATTAGGAGTCATTGTGAATAAAACTCTTAGGCTTAAGCTTGTGTAGGTCCATTAAACTCAGCCCATGGTTCCATTGGGAAATTGTCATGAAATCAAGCATTAAAAATTTGACCCAAACTATGTGCACTCAGCCCTAAGCCCAGCGCATATCCAGCCCAAAAAGGTTAGTAACAACCAGCCCTTGAACCACCTAAATGAATTGTTAAAAAACCCTACTTAGTCACACAAATTTTCTGATTGGATGCATGTCTCTTTGTGGCTTAAAAATTGCCTCCAATCTGCGCCTATAGCCTTGCATGCATGGCTGCCAAAGCTGTTTTATCTGCACCAAAAATCTGATTTCTTGTAAGCCTTGTGAGTAGAATTGTTACCAATTAGATTGGATGCAAATGAAAAAGCAACTTCCCTAATCCTTCCCTCTTGTACTCATACGCTGACTCCTTCTTTGTGACCAGAAAATTTATGCTCCACCTACACCTCCTTACAATTTAAAAACACCAAAGCCCCTACCTTGTCTCACCATGCGCTGCACATCAATGAACCCCTAGGAAAACTTAGACAACCACACTACTTCATCCTCTCTTGTGCGCTAGCAAGAGAGGTAAGATACCTTACCAATTCAAGTTCCATCTTTCATCAATCTTGTGCCTCTTACTGCCTTAAAAATCGTAGAAGATCATCAAGCATTGAAGGTTGAAACCTCTCTTTCTTCTTCGGCCATTCCATCACCAAGAAGCTACAACTCAGTCATCTTGCTCAAGGAAACTTACCTCTCTAAGCTCTCCCATTTCCTCCCATAGTATACTAGTCTATCTTGCCAAGAACAAGTAAGTATTCTTTTCTTTTCTCCTTCCAAGCTTCGGTTTCATGAGGGGTTATGGGTAGGGTTAATTCTTTCTACCTTATCCTGGCTATCTTTAATTGCATGTGGGTAGAAGATGGAGAATAGATGTTTAATAACCCTCTGCCCTTTATTGTTAAAGAAGAACCGAAAACTTAGAGCTATGTAAGTCAGTTTTTTTTTTATCCGGATTAGCAAGCCTTAATAGTAGTTAAAATGGAATTGAAACCCTTGAATGCATGTGGGCTAAAAGTCAAAAATTAGTGGCTGTTATTGCTAGACTTAATTCTGTTTTTTTTTTAGTTCTTAAAAATCGAAGATTACATGGCTGTATGGAACCATTATTAAAATTCTGTTTTTCCTCTTATAAAATCGAAGTTTGGTGGATTGAAAGTCTTGGTAAACCTTCTTGTAACGTTGCCCTTATAAACCGAATATAAATAAGCTTTCTTGGTGTTTTTATACGTATGGGACAACATGTATAAGAGAATGAAATAACCATCTTAAGTTATGGAATATGTAATCAAGAAATTGAAAAAAAAAAAAAGTGTCTTGATCGGGGGCTTAAAACCGTAGCACTTAAGTGGAAAGAGGATGATTAGCTTTCTGTTTTGTTGTATGATAAATAGGTACCCAAGCTCCTAGGAACTCACATTGATTTGAAGACATTATTGGTTAAGTATCTCAAGGATTATGTAAGTGCTTGGTGATTTAACCTAATGTGACTATGGAATTTAAGTATTGAATTGCTTGTGTGTGACATATGTGCCTTTTGTGATATTGAGCATTGTGGATAATTGATCCTACTTGTTGGTACCATTCTGTTTTGGTTATTATAGTTATGTGACTATAATTGTGAATATGAGATTTGACATGCATGTGCATTACATACATTGACCACTTGAATTATTTGTGTGCAAAGCATTTTATCTTGTTGCATGCATCATGGTCTTCACGATTTTGAGAAGCAATAATGGAAAATCTTTTGAAAACCATCATATGCTTGAGCATGCATCATTTAGGCATGCCGAAGGTACCCGGCAAGAGCATCCTGGCTCCGTGCGCATAGGTTCCAAGGATATTCGGTTTTGTGAGCCAAAAGAGAATATTACTTGGGGTTTTGTTAGCATGTGCACTCTTGTGCTATGATCATGCGTTTTGGCGTTATACACGCGTTTTGATTAACATCTAACCTTATGTTACACTTTGACAAGTCTTTAGTTAAATTCATAATGTTGCATTATCGGATGAATTACCGCATTACTGGGGTTATTCTCACTCCCTTTGGGGCTCATTTTCTATGAAAATGCAGGCGGAAGAAAAAGAGTTTAAAGGGAGATGCATGTTGGCTGTTTGTGCTCTTTGTTTGGAAATTATTGGACTTGATAAGATAAGTTGCTGGAATTTTTATGTATTATTTGCAAGACACTTTGGTTGCTGTTTCCTTTATGTTTCCTTTAAATTGCTCCATGAGAAGCTGAACTTATGAACCATATTTAACTCAAGTATTCGGTTGTTTATGGTTTTGGCTAAGTGTTACGTCTGTGTTATAACAACATTATCACGGTCCATATGTCTTCAACATTTCGTGAAACTTCAGATTCTTTTAGATATAGATGTTAGCTAATGAACAAAAGAAGAAAATCCAGATTTGGGCTTTAATCCGATTTTACATGAATTTTTGAGTAACGGTCGTTTCTGAAAAACGTTTCTGAAAATCCTGCACTTTGATCAGTGTTGAAAATTAATTTCCCGTAGCTACATGTGTTCATTTCAAACAAAATTTATATGTACTTGAATTTTGAGATGTCTACTTTAGTTTAGAAAAAAATCACAATTTTTAGAGCTCTGTAGAATTTTATAAAAATCGTACGATACAGACTGTTTTTAGAAGAAAATTTCCTGACGTTTGCAAACGTTTTTCAAGCTTTGGCCACTGTTTTCAGTTCCGTTAAGTTTAAGTTCGATTCTTTTCAATCCGGATTGACTCTACATCAATCTAATATCACAAACCACTCTAATAGCATTGAAGTACCATTCCTGTTGGACGCGTACAAGAGTGGGTGTTACGGTAATGGTATCAGAGCAGTTTGATTCATCGTGCTTGTGTGTGCTTGATTGAATGGACTGTTTAGTTGTTTCCTATTATTTTAAGATATTAATTTGATTGATATTATGTGAATTGTTTATGTTGTTAAGATATTGTTCTGTATGTCGTTGGCTGTTTATAATTCCATATTTGTGAATTAATTGTATGAATCAATTGATATATGTGTCTGCTATGTAGCTTCGAAATTTAGGAGAAACTTTAGATTTGGATTGGACAAATAATTAGGATGATATCGTGGTAAGGACTGATGTACTGTTAGCCTCTTTGTTGAGAACTCGCATACCTACATGAGGCTGCTATTAATTATATCCTGCAGTGAGATTGATCATCTCATTTCTTGGTATGGTGAGTGCAGAAACATGGTACGTCCACGGGGACCTCAGCAAGAAGGATCTAGCAATGCACCAGAGGACCTTATCACGACAATTGGCGATCTAGCCACCTTCGTTCAAAACACGAGCCGGGAATGGCGAGAACACCGAGAGCAAAATCCCCATCAGCCGCATATGCAGATCAATGACGAGGAAATTGCTCGTCGTCGATTGAAAGATTTCCGCAACTTCCAGCCACCTACTTTTGAAGGTGGAGATAACCCCGAGATGGTTGCGCGTTGGCTACAGATGATAGAGCATATTTTTTAGCGTATGGATTGTACCGAGGCGCAGAAAGTGAATTACGCTTCTTATCAGCTTGTGGGCGAGGCACTAACTTGGTGGAGAGGAGCGATAGCATTGCTTGTAGCTCAGAATGTGGACCTTACCTGGGCTGTTTTCCGAGGCGTTTTCCTCGACAAGTACTTCCTGAAAGCTTTGCGAAAAAATGAAACATAAAGAACTCCTGTCTCTGCAGCAAAACACTATGACCGTCAATGAATACATTGCCAAGTTCGAGCAACTGATGGAATATGCAAACTTCGATCGAGCTATTTATGATGAGGAATGGCAGATAGAGAGGTTCGAGAGTGGATTGCACCCGGAGATCCGCAAGCTCATCTTGTCTTCAGCAAACCGTACTCTTCCAGAGTTGATCAATGAAAGTCGGCAAGCAGAGGGAATTATTAATGAAGCAAAGGCTATGACCAGACAGTCAGCACCACAACAAGGAGGAAGCAGGATCGGGCGATTCTTCAAGAAATTCACCGGTCAGAACAAGGGCAAAGGCACACAGATGCAGGCTCACAGTGGAAATTTCAAGAACACTGCCACCAGACCATCTTCAGCAGGACGTCAGAGTTATCCTGCTTGTACTGCTTGTGGAAAGAACCACTCGAGTGTGTGCAGGCGCAAGAACAATTTATGCTACAAATGCGGAGATCCCGGACACTATGCTTTTGATTGTCCCCCGAATGCTAATCAAGCTTGTCCTAGTCAGCCTCCGACCCAAGGCCGCGTGTTTACGCTGGATGCGAATGAAGCCAGGCAACATCCAAATTTGATCCAAGGTAATGTAATCTTGAATGGCTATCCTATTTCTGTTATATTTGACTCTGGGGCTACTGGTTCTTTCATTGCGGGACATACTGCCTTAAGACTGGGTATCACCCCAGCCCCTTTACCTTATGATATGCATATTTACACTCCTACTGGAGGATACTGTACTGCTGCGGGAATTTGTAAAGGTGTTATTCTTCAGTTCGAAGGAAGGACATACACTATCAATTTGGTGGTCCTCCCTGTGTTTAGTATTGAGATGATTATTGGCATGGATTGGTTGTCGGAGAATAACGTGACGCTGGACTGTCAAGCTGGGAAGGTTATCGTTCCACCTCTGGACGATAATTCTCTATTCTTTTCTACTATTTCCTTATTGCATGTCCGTAAAGAACTACTTCGGGGAGCCGAAGGATATTTGTTGCTTTCTCTATCTGAAGATTCTGTTGATGTCCCACTCCATAATATTCCCATTGTTAATGAGTTTGTTGAAGTGTTCCCTAATGAAATTCCTTAATTACCTCCCCATCGGGAGATTGAATTTCCAATTGAACTTCTTCTGGGAGTTGGACCTATCTCTATTGCTCCTTATCGTATGTCTCCGTTGGAACTGCGAGAACTCAAGAAGCAGCTTGAAGAGTTATTATCTAGGGAGTTTATCAAGCCCAGTACTTCTCCGTGGGGTGCTCCAGCTATTTTAATCAAAAAGAAGGATGGTAGTCTTCGTCTCTGTGTGGACTATCGTCAACTGAACAAGGGTACAGTGAAGAACAAGTATCCACTTCCAAGGATTGATGATCTGATGGACCAACTACGTGGTGCTAGAGTATTTTCAAAGATCGACTTGAGGTCGGGATACCACCAGATCCGGGTAAAACCGGAAGATATTCTGAAGACAGCTTTCAGAACCCGCTATGGACACTATGAATACCAGGTGATCCCTTTCAGACTCACTAATGCTCCTGCGGTATTCATGGATTACATGAACTGTATCTTCCGTCCATTCTTGGATCAATTTGTCATCGTCTTCATTGACGATATTTTGATTTACTCTACGTCGGAGGAGTTACATGCTCAACACATGAGAATCGTTCTACAAATTTTGAAGGAGAAAAAGTTGTATGCCAAGTTGTCAAAATGCGAATTCTGGTTGACTGAAGTGCAGTTCTTGGGTCATGTGATTTCTGTAGATGGTATTGCTGTAGATCCCAGCAAGGTGGAAGCGGTGATGAATTGGGAAAGGCCTAAGACAATTACTGAAGTAAGAAGTTTCTTGGGGTTAGCTGGCTATTATCGTAGATTCGTCCAAAACTTCTCCCAATTGGTGAAGCCTCTTACCCGTCTCAGTCGGAAGGACACACCTTTTGAGTGGACTGATGCGTGTGAAGAATGTTTCTTGGAGCTTAAGGCAAGATTGACTAGTGCACCAGTTCTTACTATTCCAGACCCTACTCGGAAGTTTGAAGTTTACTGTGATGCCTCGTTGAGGGGTCTTGGTTGTGTGTTGATGCAAGACCGTATGGTTGTGGCCTATGCGTCACGTCAGTTAAAAACTCATGAGGAAAATTATCCTACCCACGATTTGGAGTTAGCAGCAGTGGTATTCGCATTGAAAATCTGAAGACACTATCTGTATGGTGCACAGTTTGATGTTTTTCAGTGATCACAAAAGTTTGAAGTATCTGTTCGACCAAAAGGAATTGAATATGAGACAGCGTCGGTGGATGGAATTTTTGAAAGACTATGACTTTGAGTTGAAGTACCACCCCGGCAAGGCGAATGTAGTGGCTGATGCCTTGAGTCGCAAGACTCTTCATACTTCTGCAATGATGATGGAAGAATTGAAAATGATTGAAGCTTTCCGAGATATGAATCTGTCTGTCACCCGAAGGAAACACAACATAAGGTTGGGAAGAATACAAATTGAGAATGATCTTATCCGTCGTATTAGACGAGCTCAGAGAAATGAGGAATTAGTTCACAAATTTTCTGGTCACCAAGATGTCTCCTGGGATGAGAATAATGTGTTGAGGTATCAAGGACGGTTGGTAGTTCCAAATGAAGAGCTAAAGCAAGAAGTGTTACATGAAGCCCATAAGGGAAATTACTCGGTGCATCCAGGTTCCACTAAAATGTATCATGACTTGAAGACTTCTTTTGGTGGCCTGGTATGAAGAGTGATATTGTGGAGTATGTGGCTCGGTGCTTGACGTGTCAGAAGGTAAAATTTGAACATCAGAAACCCTCAGGACTTCTACAGCCTCTGGAAATTCCTGAGTGGAAATGGGACAACATAGCGATGGATTTCGTTGTTGGACTTCCTAGGACGCGGGAAGGTTATGACGCAATTTGGGTAATTGTTGATCGGCTTACCAAGTCAGCACATTTCTTGAGCGTTCGTACAACTTACACCACCGAGAAGCTTGCACAAGTCTATTTACGGTAGATTGTGAAGTTACACGGAGTTCCAACAAGTATCGTCAGCAAACATGATCTGAAGTTTACTTCGAGGTTCTGGGAGTCTTTTCAGAGGGCTCTTGGGACTCAATTAAGATTGAGCACTGCTTATCATCCGTAGACGGGTGGTCAGACGGAAAGAACTATCCAAACACTGGAGGACATGTTGCGCGCGTGCATATTGGAGCAAGGTGTTAGTTGAGACAAATACCTTCCATTGGTGGAGTTTGCATATAATAATAGTTACCATTCTAGTATTGGAATGGCCCCCTACGAAGCATTGTATGGGAGGAAGTGTAGATCTCCTTTGTGTTGGACTGAAGTTGGAGAAAGACGTTTTTTGGGCCCCGAAATGATTCAAGAAGTGTCTGATCAAGTACAGATGATTAAGGAGAAGATGCAGAGGGCTCAGGCAAGACAGAAGAGTTACTATGACAATCGTCACAAACCTTTATCGTTTGATGTAGGAGACCATGTGTTCTTGAGGATCACACCGACTTCTGGGCTAGGCTGGAGACTGGGGATGAGGAAGTTTAGTCCTCGTTACTTGGGACCCTTCCTTATTCTTGAAAGAATTGGTGAATCAGCTTATCGCCTAGCCTTACCACCCAATTTAGCCGGACTTCACGACGTCTTCCATGTTTCTCAGTTGAGGAGATACATCTATGACTCATCACATGTGTTGCAGCCTGAGGACGTGGAACTCAGAGAGAACCTGACTTACTCCGTACGTCCATTCCAAATTCTTGAGAGATCAATCAAACATTTACGCTCGAAGGAGGTGTCGTTGGTTAAAGTTCAATGGAACGACAGGACTGCTTACGAAACAACGTGGGAACGTGTGGATGAAATGCGAAAATTATATCCAGAATTCTTCGAGTAGGTACGTCATTCGAATTTTGCGGACAAAATTCAATTAAGGTGGGGAGAGTGTAACAACCCGTAAACGTTCACCAATGACTTGAACATGATTAGGGATACATGTGTATGGCTTTGTGAGGTACTTAGGTCTTGCGAGCGCTTTGCGAGTTCTGTTACGAGGGGCAAACGATTTCCGATTAATTATTACTTTATATGCACGTGAAGCCCCACGTGTCTAGTTTTTGATTACAAAAACGTTAGAATAGAATTTTTAAACCCTGATTTTATACGAATTTTTAGAGATTTATTGGAAATTAAAAATAATTAATGAGTGAGACCTAATAAATCTTAACCGTTAGATGCAAGAAATCAATATTTAAGATTTAGTGTAAGACTTATTATTCTTACATCGGTGTAAGATGATCCTGACCATGATAGTTAAAATCTCGATTTAAATCTGCGATTTTACGATTTTTTTTAATCAAAACGATTTCATCAAAAATTCAAACGCTTTTACATTTTTACAATTTTTTATGATTTTTTTACGTTAGGATTTTACGTTTTACGATTTTTTATCCTCCTTCCGATTTTAAGTAGAATCCCGATTTTAACTACCATGATCCTGACCCATATATATATATATATATTGGTGGATGTAATTTTACTACTTATAATACAATCAACTTGAGGTATGATATGCTACCCACCTACTACCACTCTAATATAACTAGTATTCTCACAAGTTCTCTTTCTTTTTTCTCCCTCTTTAGAAATTTTTCAGAAATTATCAAGTGAAAAAATGGGATTCAACAATAATTAGAATGATAGCAAATAGATAATAAAAACATTTGATAATAAAAATATCCGAATATCCTACCTCCTTAAACTAAGCATGTTGATTCATTTTGGAGATTATCCTAACAGCATTCTCTTTCATTTTCAAATTCGAATTTGTGACTTAACTAAAGGAACGAACTCCTTGACACTTAACCAATAATTATTGGTATCATTTTGTTTTTTAAAACTTTTGATAAGTATAATAAGAATAACATTAGTGAGGATTGAAGAGGTTCATCAATAATCATCATATCAGCATTACTACATAAGAATAATATAATTTAGAATTAAATAAAACAATTCATACCAAGACACCAGAAAATGTTATCCCATTCATAAACCACAAAAAAAACTTGTAGGGTGTGTGTGTGAAGTGTTGCCTTTGTTCATTAACTAATGACTGTGAGACAAGTCAACTTCATGGAACAAATCATAGCCTTCTTCAATATCATGTTCAACAATATCCCTCTCCTTCAACTCTTCAATCCTAGCCACAGCCTCCCTCCAATCCCACCTACTCCCCAAACTCCATTCACAGCAACCTATTCCAATCCTCAACAGCTTCATCATCTCACCCTCACTATTCCTTCTCCACAAAATGTCCTTATCAAACACTTCCCCACTCGACCCTTCCCTCACAACTGAGTTCACCCATGTTGCCAAATCTTCACTTGCTCCCTTCCCATGTCTTAGATAATTTGCTGGGATTTTCCCCGTCAAAAACTCCAGTATTAGGATCCCCAAACACCAAACATCACTCTTCTCACTGGGCCTGTCAAACTGGTTCACCTCTGGGGACTTATAAGCTGCCATGAACTGCTGAGCATGGCTCTTCTCCATCACTGCCACAAGTCCATACTCTGTCAAACGAGGCTCAAATAAATGGTCCAACAAAACATTGGATGATTTAAGATGCCCATGTGGTAGGTCTTGGTCAGGGAACTCTCTGTACAGATAAGCTAACCCTCTAGCCACTCCTTTTATGATCTTCAAACGTGTTGACCAGTCCAACTCAGAACCACTTCTACCTAAAAATCAATGTCAACATGAGCCAAAATAGACTTCAATTCCGATTAATATGTATCATTATAATATATTGAAGCAAATCTTAGGAGAATGAACCCTCTCATGTTTCTTCTAACAAGACTAGGTCATACGAGACATTTGAGTTATCTAATATAAGTTCATACTATAACCATTGACAAATCAAGACGGAGTGAGTAACATTTTGGATAAAAAATGGCGAAAGGATAACCATTGATTTGTTTATATATGACTAAAATCGTCTCACATGACTACATTAAATGAGACAAGAGAGGATCCAATATAAGTTCATACTATAACCATACATTACATTACATT